GAAGGTGGGAGGTGAGAGTGGGAGAATAGGGAGGTCGGTGGAAGGTGAGATGTGAGCGTGGGATCATACTGATGTAAATGGTTACAGAGTCAACCAGCCAGACTCAAAAATAATCAAAGCGTAACATCACAGGAAAGAAGGTAAGTAACTGCTTGGTGATTGGTTTTTCTTCTTTTCCTCTCAGTCTATTCTGCCAAATTCTTCACATGCCTGGGAGGATGCTGCTCCAAAAACAATCAAGAAGATCAACTCCTTCCAGGCAGAGCAGCTCACTTGTGATATTACCCATCCATCACCTTAAAGATTCACTCCCTTGGCTGCACTGTGTCACTTAGACCATATACTGACACAACTTGCCAAGACTGCACCTTCCAAAACCATGATCAAGGCCCTCTAGGGATGTGCAATAAACCTTGGCCTAACCAGTAACCCCCACAATCCCGTGAATAAAAAAAAAGACAGCCCAGAAAAACCAGATCAGCTGCAAATTATTGCCCAAGTCACATATCATCTAGTTCTTCATTTTCACCATCCTGACTTGGATCTACATAACCTCATTGGATAAAAATCCTGGATTTCCCTTCATAATAGCACTGTGGGTGTACCCATACCCATTAACTGTGGAAGTTGTAGAGGTAGCTCACTACTAGCTTATTACGGGAAATCATGGATTGTAATAAATGCTATGCTCACATCCCAGGGATGGATAAAGAGAAATCTAAACTGAATACCAAGCACCAATTTCACTCTATACTATCCCTTTAATATGAAAGTCTTTCTTTACCTTAAAACATTCAATTATTTTGAGAAATCGTGGAACCGAACACCCTGGTTATTACTGAATCACCTGCACACAAAAGCTGCCATTTATAATGGCACAATCTTGGATCTGGGAGCACACAATATCTTGTATTTGAATACTGGTGTTTACTGGACTGGCATATTCCTGATCTGGCATCATAGCTGTTTTAAGTATTGTGGAGCTCAAGTTACTGACAGATTACCTGTTAACACAGTCTTACCTGCAATAATATAAGCTTCACTCACTGACACATTAAGCAGCTAAGCATATAGGAAGTAAAGATTGTGTATTTTAAATGTGTCAAGGTAACCTGTCAGTTGGCTCATAGAAATATCTTTCTAGTGAACAACTTAAACAGGGTCCAAAAGAAGTGATGCTATATCAAATAATAATGGTAGGCAACAATACTTGTATTTTGGCTAATGTGAAATAAGTTAGAACCATAGACCAGACAAGAGTGGGAATAAATACAGAATGGAAACAACTCATCAGTGGTACCAGGAACCATTTATCATGTTAGCTCTCTGTACAAAACAGCTGTGCCAAGAAAACTGTGCGCTTGGGTATTGAACATAACACTTGAGAAATATTATGAGGGATGAGAGCCAGTCTGTTATATCTAAAATAAAAACTCTTGCTTTGTGTTCTTGTAGAGATGATACCAAAGAGATAAATAAAGTTTTATGCTTCATCAGTTCCAAACACAACAAAACACTATCACATTAAATTCATGAGTAACTCAATATTTTAAAGAACATTTTTCTTCTTTTGTGAATTGACATTCTAATCAAGTCATGTACTGTTAGTGCTGGAACATTTTCCTATTTCTGCTCACTGTAAAACCACCACTCCTAGAACAAGTGCTCCAAAGGAAAATTCTCCTTACTGTATTATTAGAATCTGCCAATACTCAACTTCAGAATAATATCTTTCACTGCATGAATGTGGATTTTTCAATTCCCACACCAATCATCCCATGGCTTCTGAATGATTGTACCAATTTTGTGCTGTTTTTCACCAATCATAAGCAGTCTTCCTCTCATCAATCATGTCTGATAAGAACCAAAGGTTGGTCCAGTTTATTTATACTTAGGATCCTTCCAACCAAGCCCTCACAGATTTGAAACTATATCCCATCCATCTGAGCAACAGAAGGCCAATCTGTCAATCAGTTGCAATATTGCTATTAAATGTGACCTCCATTTTTGGGAGCAATTTAAAAAAAAGTTGAAAGTGCTAAGGCTTAACAAGGTACACTGTATATTTATTCACTGTATCAAAGACAACATGCTCATGATAATTCCCCTATGGTTGATCATGAAGATCTACTTCTAACATGTTAGCTTCCAGGAATACTGTGAAGCAATCCTTTCCTTACCAATATGTTGACTTATCTGATATACCGTTCATTCTTCAAACTAGATGCATGCACTAGTGGCTGTGGCAGTATAAACCACTATGTACAGTGTTGGTGTTCTTATCTAAGGAATAATATAATTGCTAAAGAGCAAGCGCAACAGAGATTCACCAGATTGATCCCTAAAATAGTGGGATTGTCTTATGAGTAAATATTGATGAAACTGGGTGTCTGTATTCTGTAGAGATTTGAAGAGAGAGGTGATTTCTTTGAAGCTTACATAATTCTCTCAGGCATGACAGGGTGGATGCAGATAGGATAGTTCTCCTAACTGATGATTCTAGAACCAAGGGCCACAGCCTCAGGATTAGGAGCAGGTCATTTAAAACTGAGATGAACGGTTATGTTTTTTCACTCTATGGATGTTGAACCTTTGGAATTCTCTATCCCAGAGGACTGTGGAAGCTCAATCACCGATCATGTCCAAAATAGAAAACAATAAGTTTCTAATGCATATGGAGACAAGGTGCGAAAATGGCATTGAGGAGATGATCATCCATATCTAGAATGGCAGGGTTGGCTAAATGTGCTACTCATGTATCCATGTTCCTGCAGCAATTCAAATACCCCCACAGAGAGATCTCAGGCAATCTCCTTTGCAATGCATTGAAGGGAGGGCCGGTTGAGCCTGTAAGTTTTGATTTAGCAAGCACAGCATCAGACACCAACATGGATATTCAATAAAAAGTGAATGAAAAAACCCACATTTAGCTTTCTGAGATGATACACAGAGGAATAAACTGAAACTAACGCAATGTGAAATATTCACAAATGACATTTAAATTTGAAGCAACTACGCCACCATTGTGCTCTCAGTAAATCTTGTGTTAATGTCAATGGAGTTGGGCAGGAGACAGATGTCACTCTGGAGCCCAACTGATGGCCAATCCATGGCTGCAGCATCACCAGCTGACAGTGAGATGCACCACTGAAATGTTTCCCCTGCCACACAATCACTTGAGGTTTCCATGCACGTCTCTGCTACTTTAACATTTCATGGGAATTTTGTGGCAAAGAGACAAAATTGAGAGAGGGTAGTTGTGCACATTGCTTGTTCTGCCATTGGGAAAGCACACCACTGATACAATTTTGAACCAGGTATAAACAATTGGCCAAATGTACTATTGCGTGCCGTAGTTGAATCTAGACTGTAGTGCTTCGTAACAGTTTGAGCATTCTTTCATGTGGCTGTCTTTTCTTATCCACTTAAATTTTATTGAGAAAAGCCCAGGAAGCATATATCTAATAAGTGGATGATATTTTAGCTGTCAATTAGGTTTCTTCTTAGCAATATGATTGCACTGCATGAAGTACTTGTGTATTTGGTTATTTACTGTTTCATCATCAATATGCCTTTGGTCCTGGCACCATAGCAGACAATGAGTGAGTCTTAAAATAAAAGAAAAGTAATTGAAGAATAGATTGATTGATTGATTGACTGATTTATTGTTGCCATATATGCCGAGATACAGTGAACTGTGGTGTTTTGCATACTAAACAGCAGATGGCATCATGCAAAGTGTGTCAGGGTAGGAGAACAGAGTGCAGAATACAGTGTTACAGCAGAAAAGGTGCAGTGAGAGAGATCAGAATTAACATTTGACAGGTCCATTCAAAAGTCTGATAACAGTGGGGAAGAAGCTGTTCTTGAATCTCTTCGTACGTGTATTCAAAACTTTTATATCTTCTTCCCAATGGAAGAGGGTGGAAGAGAGTATAACTGGGGCAGCAGGGATCTTTGAATACGTTAGTTGCTTTCCTGAGGCAGCTGGAAGTGTAGCTGGAGTCAATGGATGGAAGGCTGGCTTGAGTGATGGACTGACTAATGTTCACAACTCTGTTGTTTCTTGTGATCTTGGGAAAAGCAGCTGTCAGATAGGATCGGAGATAGTAGGAACTGCCGATGCTGGAGTCAGAGATACCACAGTGTAGAGCTGGAGGAACACAGCAGGCCAGGCAGCATCAGAGGAGCAGTGGAGCTAACGTTTTGGGTCGGGACCCTTCCTCAGAAAAACTTCAATTTTCCTGCTCCTCTGATGCTGTGCTCCTCCAGCGCCACATTGTGTCAGATAGGATGTTTTCTATGGTGCGTCCATAAAAATTGGTGACATTCCTTGTGGACATACCAAATTTGCTTAGCCTCCTAAGGAAGTAGAGACGTTGTTGTGCTTT